TTGCAACTGAAGAGTTTCAGATGCAATGAAATAGTTCAATTTAGCTTAGGATGCTAATTTTTATTCAAAAGCTGCATCAGTCTCAGGCTGGACTTCGTAACAGAGGGCACTGTTACGGGCTAGAGCGTGCGCAGGCTTCTGCTCCTGGCAGTACAGGTCCCAAAGATGTGTTAGGATGAACCCAGTGTGGGTGTGATGGAAATGCTGAAGCTGTGTCTGAGCCTCGCAGCTCCATAAATGTCAGTAATCCCTGGAGGAAGAAGGATGTGACACTTCCCGGGGAGCTTGAAACTCCACGGAAGGTTTCCCTTTTTCCAGTGTTTTTCCATGGGCTGTTATTTCATATCCAAATAGCTTTTTTCTTCACAAGGGAGGGAGAAGGCAGGCAGTGCTTTACACAAACCTCATCCAGTGATGCCTCTCCCAGGCAACAATTTGCAAGGATTCAGGACCGAGATTATCCTAGAGAAACTTCAGAGCTTTCCTTAGAAAGTAAATGCTCTTGCTCTTCCTTAATGCCCTGACTTCAAAGACTAAGTGTGAGGAGGCTCACGATCTCCCTGCTTTCTTCCTGAAAACTTTTGTCCCCAGTAGAGCTGCGCTGCTGGAACACTCAACTGAAGCTGTCAGTACAGCATGCCTGGAGAAGCAGCACAGTGCTCTGCCATCACATAACTGACTCCTTCATTATAACTACATTCAGAACAACTAAGATGGGAAATTCAGTATCTTTCATGCTCTGATCTCTGAAAAGAACATGAAGATCATGTAGCTCTTTTCTGTGTGTTTTACTTCACCAAATTGCCTGGCAATCTCCCCATAAAATTTAATCTGCCAGACACAGTGAAGACAAACTGCCTAAGCTGTATCAATTCATTTGGCATCTATAGCTGTAGCAGCACCATAATGAGTTTGTGTAATATTAATACTCACTACACCAAACAAGCATAAATCACAAACTATCCAAAGGAAACACAAAGACAGAATCAGACAACTGCAGACAGCGAGTTCTGACAGCATTTCAATTCTGTGTGATTCTTGTAGCTGACATCCATCTGTACTGAACTATGCACAGCAGATGCACTATTACCTTAGAGGAGCTACTGTGTATTTTGTTTTAAATCAACACAAATCTTCACTGGAAGAACAGTTAACATACCAAGAACCTGAGTGCTTCAGAAAAACAACAGACAAGTATGTAGCTTTCTGCACAGAGAGGAAACAAATGTACTACATCCAGAAACAACCTCTCTGCAAAGGAAACCAGGAATGCTAGGATGCTATGGGGCTTTCAGCTTGGCCCCAGGGTGCTGTGGCCTTCCTGCAATCTAGATGTACTTGCCTACATGGCAGTACTAGCAGTACATTTCGGAGATGCAGAATTGTTAGCAAACAGAGCTGAGGCTGAAGCTAATCCAAGACACTGGACAAGCATCAAAATTCCACTGGTAATCCTGTTACAGGACATGAGTCAGTCTCCAGTAATACCAGCAAGTGCTATTATAAATGAGCTGGTTGTTCAATGGCAACTCCTTTGCCCATCTCTTCTTTTGGCCTTAAAAATGACCCCTCCACAAAGAGGCTCCTACAATAAAGAAAAACACTATAAAGATGGAAGGGATGCAAAAATACAGACCTGGGTGCAAGCTTTCTGTCCCCTTGGCTGCCTTCTCTGAGGTTACCTTGGTCAGAAGATTTGGCTTAGAATCTGAAAACTTTTGACAAACGGTAATTCCAGATTTGTTTAAGTGTTAGATTGTCGTATGATGCCAGAGAAAAATGCCCCACAGTAGGAGCTACCAAAAGAAGGATACAGTCTCACTACTGTCATTAAATCGAATTGCAAAGCAAAGCTCCTACTGACTTAAGTAGCACAAGAGCACAGTCTCAAACCACGATGGGAAATTGTGAGCTACAGAGAGGAGACGTCACATCAAGAATGTGATGGAGTCTCTGTGTGGCAAAAGTAAAGGCATGGGGTCTCTTTCTGCAGCTCTGCTGACTTTAAGGAGATCATGTGTGCAAGCAGCTGCAGCAGTGTGGTTTAAAGTTGGGCAAAGGCTGTGAGAAAGTTACTTGAAGTTTATAATAATAATAACAACAACAACAACAATAATAATAATAATCCTGTGTTTGTTTTCTGTGAATATCCCAGTGAGCATATTGGCTGCCCAAACAACACATTTTAAATAACTCTTTCAAAACATTTACTCTAGGATTTTTATTGGAATTAATTCCCTCAGCTCTAATGGACTCCTCTGCTTGGCTAACATTAAAGACAGAGGGCAAAAGGAACTGTTGAAAAGACAGGTGCATTTTCCTACTAAGCCCTCTCCTTTATACATGCCCCAGTGTTTCCAGCAAATACAGGAGCAAGATGAATATAGTAAACCTTACAGGTCTGACTCTGCTCTCTCAACCCTTTGTTGGTGTAAATGGTAGTACTCTACTGTGTAAAACTAAGCTACAGTAATTTACATCAGCGTGACAGTAGAGCACCTTTCAAAGGTAACTATTGTTGTTTCCTTCTTTCTTTTCTCAGAAGTTGGCAGGAAAGGAAACAGAACCTCTCCAGAAACAGCTAGGAGTAAAACTGATTTATTTCAGATCAGCACCAACACTAAAAATTAACTCTTGCTGCCATAAAGAGGAAGTTTCTTCCTTATTGCTACATCATGCATCATTGCCTCATGCACCATCCCCCTTCACTGCCTTTCAGTGATGCAGAAGAAATGCTACATAAATCCAGCTTAGCCAGTGGGACTACAACCCAGCCTCTTCCAAAGACCTCTCTAGTTTCCTTGCCTTTAAAAACAGTAGCAATTTCCTTAGGAATTGACTGAATAGTATTTAAGATGAGATTTTGTCTTCCTTATTCCAGAAAAGCACTGATTTACTCAGGAAAGGCGAAAGAACTTCATGCAGTGTATGGTCAGAGCATGAATACTGACCTGGTTTATACACTCTTAGCTCCTTCGCTTGCCTCTTTCCTGCCTGACATGGTATTCTCCTGGTTTGACCTAGAACAGAACCAACTCTCCATTCAGTGATTTTACTTTTCAGCTAAGTATCTCCTCTGACTGCATTTTCTGATATTAACGGCATATTTTTCCAGACAGTGACTGGTTCTAGCAGTGAGAGCGCTTGGCGTTTATAGTTGCTACCAAGGAATGGTATGCAGATGTTGCTTATACTTGCTCCTATAGAAACCAAGGTCATTCCTAAATCTTGTGCCTCGTGTTGAAGTGCCATAAGTAAAAAACGTTGCACTTGTGGGGAGGAGCAGACAAGGATAGGTGACCCAAAATGGATGGTTCCCAACTACATATTCCACTCCATATATGCCATACTCAGTATAAAGCTGAGGGATCACAAGGGTTAAGCCCTCTTCTTCAATGGCTGACATCCGAGGAGGACTCTCTCTGATCTGTGTGCTCCTGAATCCTCTTCCTGTCTGCCACCGAGTCCTGTCTGGGACTTCCACAGTGCCAGCCCTGCAGCATCAGTGCTGACTTACTGTCATCAGGGGGGGCTGGGTTCGGTATTGGTTTTGTATATACTTGTATATATTTAATCATTTTCCTGTTAATATTATTATTTTTTCTTTTTATTATTATTGTTTCATTAAAGCTGTAGTTTTCCAACCCATAAGTCTCCCTCCCTTATTCTCTCTCCCTTCCACTTCTGGGAGGGGAGAGGGGTAAACAGACAGCGTCTGTCATTCCTTAGTGGCCGGCCCAGCCCTAACCCATGACAGATGTAATCTGCTCAGACCAAGGTATGAATTTGGAACTACCTCATCTAAGGACAAATGTCCAAACAGTTTCTAAAGCATGAGGAATAAACACCAACATTTCAATGAGACTCCACTTAGTATTTAAAATGTGACTTTCCACTAAAAGGACCATGGAGAAAAAACAAACAAACAAACAAACAAAGTCCCTAATTACTAAATACATTTGATGCCCGTGCAAATGTCCTCACATTAGTAGTGCATTTCACCATCTCTTAGTTTTGTAAGAAGGGGTGGCACATAAACTGTTAAAAGGATGGAGCCAAGCAGGGCAACAGGTAGAAGTCAGAGCTGTGGGCAGGGAGCTCAGGAGTGAAAATGAATTCCAGAAACCTCAACTCAGGCCTCCACCTGCAGCAGGGCTCCTGTGGCGCTGAGGCATTTAGGACAGGATCCAGTTCACCAGAGCTTGCACACCAGGTCTGAGACTGCTCTGGAACTGTCAGTAGTCAGTGGACAGAGAAAGACACCTCCAGAAAGTAACTTATCTCACTGTAAATGTCCAAGGCAGGCAGCAATAATCACCCACTGGACACATCCACTCTTCTCCAATGACATGAAATGAAGTCTGGATGAAGAGCTTAGATTGCACCATATCCCTGTCCTTTTGATGGTTAGTTATGTGAGCCAAATCCCACCTGAATACTCTCTGTGCCTCAGCTCCCCCTGTAAAATGAACAGCATTTCCTCCCCTGACAGAGATGTTATGAAGATCAACATGCTAAAATCTGTGATGTGCTCAGCAAAAAGCTTCACATACAAACAGGAAAAGGGGCTGGGTCTGAAATCTGGCTCCAGACACAAAAGCAGCATTATCTATGTATTCCAGCTGCCCTCAGTTACATCAGTGCCAACCCTGTCAAGACACCAGGATTGCAGGGATGGGAGAATCAGAGCTATGTACTTCCTGGCTAGGATGGTACACAACTGAGAAACAACACTGCTTGACTTCACAAGCCTCAGCTGTGCTTTCAGGACAGGCAGTTCAAGTTGAGCCTTTGTTCTCTCAGGGCTGAGCTATTAATTTAGAATTCACTGAGGCACAACGAACAGGGAACCCAGTGACAACATTTTTATAGTCGCTCTCTTTACAATAGGAGCTTGTCATTCCCAAGGCAACTTTGGCCTGTGTTTCATTAGCATACTTAAATCTCCACCTGTGCTTTTATAATAATCAGTATTTTCTGTCTGAGCTTGCTAATCTTACCCTGTTGGAATCAATTCTTGTCCTGGAGGTGTAGATGGGAGGAGGGATGTTGAAAGCTTGAGGAACAAGGTACTCTTCAGCATCCATCATATCTTCCAGGTCTTCCTCATCGAGAAGGTTTTGGAAGAACTTGCTGTCATTTGGGCTTGGGAGCTTCATACGATCATCTCCCTAAATAGGTTGTATTGAGAGAGGAAAATGGTCAAAAGAGAGATTAATTTCCCAAACAGGGAACTTCAGCCCTCTTCATGATCTGGCAGCCAGGCTGCAGGGATCACACAGGCTGCTTTGTTTGTTCTAAAGCACCACATCCACAACATTTGTTTTGATTTTTTACTGGGAATATGATGACAGAAAGGGAGTAACTGCATAAATTAAGCAAAGTCAGTTTTTGGCATTCTCGTGATTGAGCTTTTATTTTCTTCTCTCTTTTTCCCATACAAGCTCAGTTTCTGACCCAAGTGCTGTCAAGGCGTGATGTATTTTCTGAAATATCTCAGCTATTTAGGCTCACATGAGGGGGGAAAAATAACATGGAAACTGCTGTGTCTGGGTGTTTGCTTTATTTTCACTTGTATTTTTAAGGGACTCAGAGGCTAAAATTCCCTCTCATCCATATGGAAAGTTCCGCAGAATGTAACAGAGCTGAAAGCAATAAAAATCAAACCAGGGAAGAAGAGCAACAACAATGATATGTATTTTTATTGAAACAGCATCTACAAGCTGGAAAGGCAAATCAGTACTGTACTTTGTGTCGTACCACAAAACATCACAAAAGGCAGCCCAAGCCCCAAACACCTAACAGCCCATGGAAACAATGCTAAGCTTAACTGCATGGCTAAAGAATGGCCTCCCACTCTGCAAGAACTACTATGCCATGTGGGGAATCCAGCAGGGAATGATGGCTGTGTTACAGGGTGCATACAGATCAGTTTAGAAACTCAACAGCAAGCTTGTCCTTGATTGCATCTGGGGGAAATCATAATGGCAGAGATACCAGTGCAACGGCATCATCCTGGTTTCTCCTCAAGAAGCACATGGCCTATATTGTCTGCAAGGATCACTGGAGAAGAAGCCTCACAGGATGAAATACCCACCAGAATAAACAACAGGGGAGGGAAGGGTAGGGGAGAGAAAGGGAGCGAAGAGGTATTTGCAATAGGGAAATGTGTCCTAACAAAGTAATTTAATCAGACTGATTTTTCCAGAATCACTTCTATCAGCTGAACTTATAATTTAACACAGTGAGGAATACTGCAAGAGAAATTCCACATTCAGTACTATAAATCCTCTTGCCAAGTGTTTTACTTTTCAAATATATTTTACTTCTCCTCAAGCTGAAGGAGAGTAGTGTACATTCACACTGTGCAATAAGTAGGCTAGCACAGCTACACAGTGAAATGAAACACCATCTGGTGAGACTAGCACTAGACCCCAAAACAATCAGGAGACAAAAAGTGGCAGTGACTGTACTTCTGGAGACTCTTCAGCTAGGGATGGCTAGTGTGAAGTCAAGGACCAGTTGGATCTATCTCTGCCCTGTACTCCATGATGTGGAGCAGATATAGCATGAGAGTATCATTACTAGCATCAAACTAACTCCATGCTTTGGTCTCTAGTGTTTCAATATCACCATACTTCTTTTAGTTTTTCATTTTCATTTGAACTGCTCACATACTGGGACCATCTAAGGACCTTGTCAAATAGTTAATTAATTTTCGTGGCTTGAGCCAGAGTTGTAATAAACGCATACACAACTCTAGGCTCCTGCAGAATGCAGGAGTGAAAGGACAAAAATTTCTGCATACGCTTGTACTCAGGGCATACATAGTTTCCAGCTAGATGTAGACAACAGATACGGCTATACTGGTATTGCCCTGCTGCCACAGTTTAGTTTCATGTAATGCATCATGCTGGTGTGGGTCTATTGCGGGGACCGTAAAGCACTATGGAGCCTACCCAGCCTAAGAAGGACACAAAGGGAAGCTCTTCTCTAGCATGAGAGGTACCAATGTGACACACCTCCCTGTCTTCTGAGAAACCTTTACGTTTAGGCTATGAAAAGAAGCTTTTTTACGGTCTCATGCAGGAAGAGCCTCTTCAGAATAATCCCCTGAGATTCAGCCTAAGTAATTGCAGAACCAAGCACATCCTTGATCTAAAGTAGGTCCACTGTCCACTGAGACAAATCTTGTTCCCAGTTTCATGACAGAATGCAAAGTACTGAGCAGTAGCCTGCAAAGCCAGATCTTGTATATGTGCTCACAAATATAAAGGTTAGGAAGTGAATTTCAGATTATTTTCTTCTTATTATTTTCGAGATACTGAAACTGACCATTCTGCTTCATTCATGTATAGTACCATGGTCACTGTTGGCTTTAAGTTCAAGAGCACCTTGAACTTAAGAGACTCAAAGGTAATCCCCTTAACAGTCAGGTTTGGCAGACAAAAGTCCTATATTCTTTTTCCCTGACATTGCAGAGTTGCTTACCTGAATTACTAGGTATCTCTGAGGGTCTCGAGCCATTCTAGAGAATTCAGCAGCCAGCTCCTTGAATTTTGGCCGACTGTCAGCATCAATCATCCAGCCTGGGGACAGAAGAAAGATGAGGAAGAAAACAGTTAACTGTCAAGCAAAGAAATTGTTCAGTTTTCAGAAATGCACAGGTTTGAAGTCCTTGATGTCCTTGATAGCTCCGGCCTAAAGAAAAGTTGCAATAAAGGGCCCAGAAGAATGAAAAGCTAGAACTCTATGATGCACCTGATCTTGGCCAGAGAAGACTAGATTGTTCCACACTGCATGGATATCTTCTTAATTTGCTCTGAGCTCCTGTTCCCCATTCCCAGAACAGAGACAGCAACAATGCCTTGCAATTTTTTGTCCCTATCTTGCCCATTTAGACGCCAGCTCTGACTGTCTTTTATTATGGATGTGTCCAACTCCAAACATAATGAATCTGATTTCATCTGAGTCTAGTGGATTTATTACAAAGCTACTACTAAATACAGTTTTATTGTAACTGTCCTACTGTTTCACACTAATTTAAATTAAGAAGAGCTGTTCAACAGATCTACAGGATGACTGACCTCACATCCGGTGATTCTGCATTCACGCGTCTGCATCATTAACACAGACCTCACACAAGACATTAGATGCCACTTTAATTGAATAAGGGTGATTCTTTTGTCCTTCACTCTCCAAGAAACATTCATTAGGAACAACAGTTCTCAATACCTACTAATGCTTTCTGCAAAACAGGCAAGCAGTATAGGCAGTCACCACCAGCAACTAGTTTATCTCAGTGTCAGCTTTTTCTAATGGAAGATCCTAACAGTAGCTTCTCAAGAACATGTTCTCATTTGCCAGGGAGGAGAAAGAAAGCAGGCCTTATCTCCTCTGTGCTGTTTAACTGAGGAAGTGACCAGTGCAGGAAAAGCAAAGCTACTACAGCTTATAAAGAATTTCACACAAACATTACAGGACTAAGCCTGTACATCTAGCCGTAAATTTCTGTCTTCCAGAATACCCCATCTACTCGGACTTCCTTTTGTCCACTGAGATTCGCCTCATACTCATTAGAAATCCTATCAGATGGAAGATTTTTTCATTCAACCAACATGAACCCCTTGCACTATTCAGACAATTTCCATACCTGCATGAACAGTACAGCCATTTTCAGAAAACATATTATTTACTTCTTCAAGTTTTATTTTCTTCCTTTCAGTGTTTTTTGTACAAAGCAAAATGGAAAAGACTATATAAGATGGATGAGATGTCTGTGTGTTAATTTCACTTAAATTAAGTCAGAAACACCAGAGATGTGTTCCTAATTCTTCTTAAATTAGAAGCATAGCCTTGGAGGATACTGTCACTAGTGTGGGTATCTTGGAGACAAAAGGGTAGGAAGAAACCATGTGCAGACTGTTTTCCTTTTTGCTAAAGTAAAAATATTCACAAATTATTGTACTAGACTAAGAATGAAAAAAAAATATCCTATCTGTAGCATTTCTTGTATTAATTTTAATTTTACTTCTTATTATTACTATCGAAATCCTCATTTTTGTTACTAACAATAAGACATTCATGCTTTCTTTCCTCAATATTTGGAACTAGCATTTCTCCTCACAGCCTTCACTGGCTGGGTATCCATGTACCATAATTACGTTTAATACTATCTTTTTTAACATCAAAATCAATTGTCATGGAAATGACAAGGGTTTACAATAACAATCACACAATTTTGACTTCACAGTAAGAATATGAGATACCATCTGACAGTAATAAGAAGCTGAGCTAACTCAGCCCTTCATGGTTACTTTCCTATCTTTTGCAATTGCAAAAAATGTGCGTACGGTATTTAAACAGAATTTACAGTATATTAGGAAGCTTTTGTTTTGAACCAGCCTGCTCTGTTACCCAGCAGTGTCGGAGACTACAGATGCAAATGTTCTAAAACAGTGTCCCTCTTACACTGAGCATAGGGACAGTAAAAGCGACAACTACTTACACTTCACCATCACCATATAAACATCGATAGTGCAGATTGGAGGTTGGGGCAACCGCTCCCCCTTCTCCAAGAGGTCAGGGATCTCTCGAGTTGGGATTCCATCATATGGCTTCCCACCAAAGGTCATAAGCTCCCAGATAGTGACTCCTAGACAGAAAAAAAATGTGTTAATATTTGAGGTCATACTACTCAGATTCCATCACAAGTTCTTACAGTGCAGTATTCTGGCTCGGTTCTGGACAGCAATCTCTCCTTCATTACCAGTGCCTGTAAAAACACTGAAGTTTCGTCTGCCATTTAAAAATCTCCAGAAATGGTGAAACAGTACTTTGTGTTAATCTTCAAAAGCAACTTCCCTCATTTTTATTGGTGTAAGAAGCAGCATAATAGATCTGAGGCACAAGAGAAAGGTCTATGACAAATAAATGGTGGTAAATAGTTGCAATAACAAAAGAATGCATCATGCACTTTTATCATATCAAAAGGGAAAATGAATGGCTGATGTACTCTATTATTTTAAGAGGAAAAACCGTAGATGTTCCCTAACTTAGAGCATCAATTTCCCACAAAGATACAGCACTGAGCAACATTATGTCATCATCTTTGCCTTGTAAGTAATTCACAGCCACTTGTATTATTTTTTTCCTCAAATCACCTTATGGATTTGAGTTATGATAGTGCTGTGCTTCAAAACCAAGATCCCCTTTTTGAATAGCCATAGGATTTGTTTTGGCATAGCAGCTGGCAATAAAGATCATATATCATAAGTAACAGAATTCATCCCCCAAGAAAATCTCAAATATTGAAAATGCTGCTCTCACACCAGTTTAACTTTTATCGCAAAGGTAATTTTAAACATGCCTCTAGATCAGTAACCATATTTTTCCAGTTGTCACACTAACGTGAAAGGTGATGGGCAAACTTATTGTATGTATAAAACACATATATATTTCACCCTACTTCAGGTCTTTGTTGATGTTCAATAACTATAACTTGCCAAATGTTTTTGGTTTTGTCCTTTCTGCTTACAGATATTCTGGACTTCCCGCATTTAAAACGAAGCTCATAAATGGAGGCAATTTTTTCCTAAGTGATATGGGGTATACAGAACTTGAGGAGAAAGAGCAGCTTTATATGACTGATTTAACTTTCATGTGTTTTTCTCAGCTGAATAGAAGATGGCAGCCAACCAGTCACAGAAAACAGTGTCTTTTGCTGCTACCCACAGGTAAAAGTGAGTAATGAATAGAATTGTACACCTTTTTCTTTCAAAATGATATGGCAACAGGAAATGCAAATAGGAGTCTATAGCCCTAGATACTGCTGAAAAATTCCACTTACAAAGGTATATATGATTTTATTAGTAATAGCTATACTAGATAAACAGGCAGACCGCTCAGTAGATGTGGCACAAGAGCTCGTCTAGATAACAGAATTAACATCTCATTTCTCAAATGTGACTTTTTTTGTTGGTGTCTGTGGAGTCCACATGAGCTGACCTGTTAGCCTGGAGAGTTCATCTCTTCCTCTTCCTTCTCTTCATGAATTTGCTCTGTATTATGACAAATTCCCTTTTATCTGACTGTAGGTACAGAAATTCCCATAAGCTTGAAAATATTTTTTTGACACTCATGGCTTTTAGAATTAAGATTTTCAAAGAACTGCTGAAAATTATGACCTGCAGCTGCATTGTAATGAATCTGTGGCTAAGCTGAAAGATGCCTTCTTCTGTCATAATAATCAGCCAAACTGCTACCAGCCCAGACCTTAGGGCAGTCATCCCAGCGGGACATCATGATAATGTATTTTAGTGAGTAGGGAAGTAATGTAGGAGAAAGTAACTATTGCTGTTTAGAGTTGTACATTAAAAAAAAAAAAAAAGACAGACAAGAGAAAGAAAAAAAAAAAGGAAGAGCAAAATCCACTGAAATTAACCCCTCTAGGAAAAGACAGTATCTTTAACATAGTAACACAACTTGCTTCAATGCCTTGTAAGAGACAAATTTTTAAACTAATCACATGAAGATTTACCATAGCTCCAAACATCACTCTGATGGGTAAATTTCCTGTAGTGTATGCACTCCAGAGCCATCCACTTAATTGGCATCTA